TGCTCTCCCCTCGCGGACCCACCCTCCATCGCACCTCCCCCTCCTCCCTCTTCTCTCTCCTCTATGCCTCTCTCTTCTCTCCCCTCCCCTCGCCATACCCAACCTCAAACCTAACCCTCCATGGAATTACTCAGCACACCCAAACCACCACCACTCAAAATTAAAAAAAACTCCTCAACAACTGCTCCCCATCTATCTTAGCACAGAGAGAGAGAGAGAGAGAGAGAGAGAGAGAGAGAGAGAGGCATATAGAAGAAATAAGAGGAGGGAGGGGGTGGGGTGCGATGGAGGTGAGGTTGGGATGCGATGTAGGTGCGCTAGGGGTTAGGTCTAGGGAGGGGAGGGGAGGGGAGAGGAGATAGGCAAAGAGGAGAAAGAGACAGAGAGAAAAGAGGAGAGGAGGGAGGAAGGGGTGAGATGCGATGGAGCTTGGGTTCGGGATGGGAGAGAATAGAGGGGCAGAGGGACATAGGGAGAGAGAAGAGAGAAGATAAGGAGCTAAAATTACTAGAATGCCCATGCCACATCAGCACACTTAACGGTTTTGTGGATGAAAATGGACGGAAGTGGTAAAGTTAGAAAATTTCAGCAATTTTTAAAGATTCATGGGATTAAGTGAGAATATTTCAGTTTTAAGGTGGTAAAGTGAGACTGAGCGTCCATTTCAGGCGGTGAAACAGTAAATAAGCATTTTTTTTTAACCCAACAGTGAAAAATGATTTATAGGTTTTAGGCGGGTAAAATAAATTCATGCCCAATGTCTTACCCTTCACACTGAAAACAATGACAAAAGAGGTTTTGACAGGTTGATGACTGATCTAAAACTATCCTTTCAGAAAAATTATTCATTCCATGAACCCAATCGGTTTAGTCACGTCCAAAGTACAAAATGTCCATAAATATTTAAAAGAAATATTCCCCACCAAAAAAAAAAAAAAAAACAACAACAACCACAAGCATTTCAAAAATATTCCCCCCCAAAAAAAAAAAAAAAAACAACAACAACCACAAGCATTTCAAATAATACACATTTCAGAAATCCAACTAAACATCTAGCTGTTCTGACGTTATCACATTTCCGAGAAAGAAGTTAAGCTGGCACTGGTCAATGGGCTTTTTTATTCTTTTCCTATCTTTTTCTTTGATGTGTTTATGCAGATTACCAGTTTCATTCGTAAGGCTAGTATTTGTGTATTTCATGTTATAGTACTGACTACTGAAACGAATAACCAAATAAAGAACTATAATGAATTACCTGGCGGATAAACCCTTCAAGGGTCCCTAGCTTTCCCATTGCCATGGCCATTTGACCCATGTAGTTTGCCACATTCCCAGAGGAACCTGAGGAGCCAAGAGATCCACTGGACAAAGTCTCCGCAAGAGATTGTTGCAATGCATCCATCCCTTGAGATAAGGCATCTTCTGCCTGTTGGGAGGATTGCTGCAAGTTGGTTATCCCCACCAACTGCTGCTCTGTTAGAGGCTCCAGCTGATTAACAAGAAGCTGCACACATAATCATTCATTTTAATTTTATAAGCCGGATTAAGACCAACAAATTATTCAAGACATCAAATACAAAACAGTCATGGTTCATAGAATACTTACAAAGAAAAATATAAAAAAATACAGAGCATAAGTTGAAACTTCTAGCAAATAGAAATTGCAAGCACATAATATCAACCTAGAAAGTAGCGAAGTTATGGATACAGAAAATGATTTCCACTGCATGTTAAGAGAGATTTGAGAACTAATATGAACATCTGATCATAACAGGGGAATAACTGAATAAGAGTATGAAACAAGAGTTGGCAAAGCACTGCACCTATATTGAAAAGCAATGCATCTTTATGCCCAAGTCTTTATCCCTTCCACAGTAACATGGGGATAAAAATATCCTACCATTTATCCTAAAATGAATGAGTCCAACAAAGAGTACATTTGCAGAACATAGATCTACGGTGACTACCAAACTAAAAAGACACAATGAGATGGAATTCTTCCATATCTAATACGAGTGACAGATTGGTATATAACCTGAGAAAAAAAAATTGAAACACGAAAAATGGGCGGACTACAAGGCTCGGATTCACCTACAAACAAGACTTTTGAATCGTACATAATTTCAAGAATTTTAATTGAATTCACATGCAATTTTTTTTTTCCTTTTCGGTATCTTTTGAACACTTCAGCTAATTCTCATTTCCATGTCTCGCCTTGCTATTCCTCATTACAAGTTCAAATGACTAAACTGAAATGGGGAATCTTTCGATTCAACAGCATTCCAGAACTACACCTATGATATCGAAGCAATCAAGATATGATAAAGAGCCTCACCTTCAGGAGCTCAGATGAACGAAAACCACCAAGCCACAAGAAACACCTCTCAGCAGGTGTTTTCCACATGCCAGACAACAAATGGAATACATCAGCTTTAGCTGCTGTGCCCTTCAGCCTAAAGATCTCATCATAGTGCGCCAAGATTCCATCTACAATAGTACGAAGCTCTGCATCACTTGCATGAGAATTTACTGCTGATCTCAGTTCATTAATTTGCCGATTTTGCTCTTCCTGCCACCGTCCATATTCTACATCGAACGCCATGGCCCCTGCAACGAATACAGTGAACAAGATAACCTACCTCATCCACTGGAACTAAAGTAAGAGAAGAGGACCAAACTGAAAAACAAGATAATACTATATTTTTGTCTTAAGCCTGTTTGCATGCAAACAAACACTAGAATTGCGTTAAAATGCACATTTTTATAAAAATTTAATAATAAAAAAATGTTTCATGGCAATCTCGCCATTTTTATACTTCTATATAAAATTGGAGTGATTGCATATTCCACTTGAAAGGTATCTGAAAGTAAATTAGCCAGGTTCATGTATGGAATAGAGTTATGATCGAAAATTACTATTCTCAACTTTGGTACAGACCCATTAACCAAAATTATCTAGAGACTGAAATTTATAATTTTAAATAATACCCTCTCACACGTCAATTTGCTCCTTAGTGGAAATTTATAAATTACATATAAAAAAAGATGATAGGAGAAGAAGTTGGGGCAGTTCACGGGAAACTTTATATAGGGCGGATCTTCTAATCAAAGATGTTGGTATAAAAATTACTTTCTAATAAATACCCCGAGGTTCTTTCCTTCTTTTTTTCTGTTAAGGGTAGAGAATTCCCATTGAATATTTCTTTCAATAAGAAACACAAAACCAGAAAATACAATGTAAGGTGGACAAGAAATCCATCAGCATAATATGACAATCTGAAACAAAATCACATAAAACACTCAAAATATCAAGGTCACACAATCATTAATAATGAATGGGTGGCCTTTAAAATGCTTAGTTGAAGAACCCAGTAGGAGCTAAATATCTAATCCAGTCCCAAAGTAACTCTGCATCTTCTTCCTTGCCCACTCCAAGAGCCTCCTATTCCTTTCCAGCCAAACATTCCACATAAGAGCCAAAACAGCATATCTCCAAGGAGAGAGCATCTTTTGCCTCGACGAAAAAACCCACTGACAACAATGAAAAACAGTTCCTCACACACGTCCACATCATTTTCTAACTCCTCCAACAAGTGATCCCAAATCTTTCTAGGAAACAGACAATGTATAGAAATATGGTCAGCATTCTCCCCTTCCTTTTGCACAATACAACCCAATCTGGTGATCAGTATGAATAGGGCCTTCTTCTTTGAATTATGTCACAAATATCTACTTTCTCATGTACCACCAGCCATGTTAAAATTTGCACCTGAGCTGGAACACCAGCCTTCCAAATCGACCTAATTGCTTAAAGGGAGGACCCGATTGATTGTTGACCAATTGAAAGAAAAGATATTTACAAAAAAAAGTTACCAGAGGAGAGAACAGACCATGGTCCTACATCATAGCAATTTCCAAGGAGACGCTGTTTACACAGGAAGACAAGTCCATACATTCCTGGAACTCTGTCTCACTCAAATTTCTCCAGAACTGTAAATCCCAATAGATCATATCGACAGAAGAAAAAGAGGCTAAGGAAGAGATCAGTATATTGCAAATCAAAGAAATCCAATGCAAACTAGGAAAATAAGGATTGGAAAGACAGCCAACCGTTCCAAATGTCTTCCCAAATTTGACTTTATTTTGATTACCCACAACAAATTTCACCAAAGACTCAACAACCCAAGAGTCCCACCCATTATCATGGACTCCATACTTACTTCACATGGCTGATGCCCACCAGTTTTGCTCAATAGGGAACCTCCAAAGCCACTTAACTCCCTCCCTCTTTTTTCTCCTTTGGGTTTTTCACAAGAAGCCTAATGAACTTATGATGAACAGAGATACAAAATTCGCACAAATTCAAATGAGAAAATTTCAGATATTTGTTTCGTAATGGAGTGGGATCACTCGTACATCTAATCCAACATATTTGACAATGCTGTGTTAATCAGCTCTAAGTAGTAACTGTTTGTTAGAACAAAAGTTAGCACTTAACATGTACAGAAAGCTGTGATATACTTGCCATCACATTCAAATTCATTAATAAAGCACATGTGTAAGATGTAACTAGCTAGTGTCCCACCTCATACTTAAATTGAAATGAGTAGTTGCATAAACATGTAATGAGAAGCATATACTACAAACTCCAACACATATGCAAAAATTTAGCTCAGCGAGAGCTCTGTAATGTTACTACTACATGAGCCAACAAAATTTAGTGTAAAAGCTAATGAAATTTAATACTCAACATCAGATTGTTATAATCAAGTCCTACCATGCAATATAGTAAATTAGATAAACAAAATATAAGCTTTCATTATCCAACTCAACAAGACAGATTTGCACCAAATTGTTGAGTAGTTCACGGCACTCATTATGTTCTTCATGCAATTAAAAATTAAAAAATATATAATTTTATTAATTTGGTTCTTTTCCTGAGCACAATAATAACCTACCAAGAATACAAAATCTGATTGCTAATAGATTCAAGAGCTTATTAGCAGGGAAATCAAGAACCATGCATCAGAATGTCCATAACCACCCTGTCACTATAGCAAGTAGCAACTACGAGCATGGACAAATATCACCATCAGGCAACTGCCCCAGCTCCATTTACCAAATGATACACTCAGTTAACGTTTCACTGGTGGAACCAGCATCATAACCACCATTAACCCAATACTACCAAATCATGCACAGCTGCTACTGTCTATTTTCAACAATTCCTTAACCAATACCTCTGTATTGCACACAAGCATTCAAGTACACCTCTAGAAGCTAAGAGTTGCTATTAAAACTCTCCTGATAGTCTCTTTCTGAACATTGACATATGAGAGAGAGAGAGAGAGAGAGAGAGAGAGTACACATAGACCTAAATTTCAGTTAAGAAATTGAACTCACTCCGATAATTTCTTAACAATGACATACGTAAGAATTCACTCTGATCCCATACCTAGTGCGAAGTAGTTTCAGTTAACTATTTCCACTAGCATATGATCATGTGGTTGAGCTACTCATGGCATATGCTATTTCTACACAATCTTTTTCTCAAGTATAATTATTTCATCCATATAAGAATCAAAGAACAAACGTTGATTTAATATCATGCCAAATTTTACTACATTTGCATGAAATGCTTAAGATTAATATCTTGTTACTCGTTAAATTAGTTCTCCCACCATTTTCAGGAGCTAGTCTACCTTACTTCCAGGAAAAATTTCAAAATCCAAACCTCAGGGAAGAAGGAATACCATTTCCACTCATAGAATGGGCAGCATCTCCTGAACTTGATATGAAGATTCCCTGAACAAAGTAAAAATAGAAACTTTAGGAGAGATGCAATCGATGCACACCTAACAGAGGTCATTTACTGGGAATTCTAGGGGCTCTAAACACATTTGGTGTTATAACAGGAAAGAAGTTAATTGATTTGACCTGCTGTCTGGCTCGCTGGAGCTCTTGCTCTAGTTGAGTGAGCTTCAAACGACTACTCTCCAGCTGCTGAACATAAGCCTACAGTAAAACAAGCACAGATTCAACTCATTAAAGACTTGCAAAAACTAGGCACATAGCATAAGGGCTCAATGACCGGAGATAAACAAGAAGATCTATTCTTTTCCTCCATTTATTTAATAAATGAAAGCACGCTGCTCCGAAGAGAGGATACAATAATAAAAAAATTCAGACAAGGCATATAAAACAGGAGACAGTGATCGCAGCTTCCACTCTCTTATACAATAAAATAGTATGAACCAAACACCAAGCCATGCACTCATCATACCTTAACTACCTACGACACCTATTTTGTAGTTCCTCTGAATGGTTATGGGGCAATATTGCTAATCTAACAGCAGAGCTTAAACTGCACTACGATTGATTGGTAGGGGCTCCAACCAAGTACAGATCTCGGGCTTGATGGTTCCAAGGCCAAAGCTAGAAACCCATCTTAAGAAAAGCTAAGAATTGAAACATATCAAATTGCATAAGCTCCAAAACAAGATAACTCACATGCAGCCTCTGTTAAAGCACCAGATGGAGACCAGCCATGATGGGTCCACAAGTCAGGCCCAAACAGACAAGATCTGTCCATGTCTGCCACCCAACGAATCAAGGCTAATTGGCAGACCAGCAAGGAGGCATGACATCCCAACAAGAGAAGGAACTTAATACCCTTGGAGCAAGAAACCCGCAAACTAAAATTCCCCTAAGAATATGAGCTCTTCTCCTGGGCATATAATGGGCAGCCCTTAAGAAATATATATTTACTTAAATCAAAAGATAGGAACTAGCTATAAGAGACAGACTCAAGTTATATGCAGTCCACTTCTGGGAGTATCAAACTGAAAGTGCTCCTACTTACAAAGGACATTTAGGCATTCATAAGGCAAGAAAGAAACTAACTTAAGAAAATATCAAGGTGAAAAGAGAGTTAGGAATGCTACACCACCCAAACGGGAAATTTTAATTAATTACCAAGCCTTATAATTTATGGCAAACGTAATATGTGCACAATGATATGCTTTGAGCCAATCAAATCAATTTGCAAGTTCACTTCAGAGATTGAAGTGATGATGCGGATCTCTCCACTCAAGTCAGGAGGGGATGATTGTTGGGTTTGGTCCTTCCTTAGCGGAGGAGGTTTTCTTTTGGGTAACTTGTTTGGGTTTCCTTCGTACAAGGGGTGTATCCTATTGGATAGGGCTCGGGCTTAGTATTAAATCTTGAGTGTTTTTCGCTTGTACTTGTTTTCTTATATATAATGAGGGTGAAAACTCTCCGTGGACATAGCTGTATTTTGCCGACCACATTAATTCTTGGTGTGCTTTGTTTTATTCTCTCTTTGTCATCTTGCTGCTTTATTTTTATTTTCTTACCATCAGTTTAATTGTCGTGACGAGGTGATTCAATTCACAAAAATTAGTGCAAAGCTACACCCTTATCCTAAAATATCTAACATTGATGAACAGAAGTCCATATATGCAAGGCCCCAAGGAAGCTAGCTTTTACATACCAAGTAACTTCCAGAAAACCATATCTTAATTCTCGACCAACAATCACATCCAACGCATGCGAGACTAACTAGTTCAACAAGTATGTTGCAAATGAAGAATGGGTGACCAATCATATGAGAAAGCTGAAATCAACAATCTCAATAACTGCTCATGATGAAAAAAAATTGAAATTTTACCTTTTGCTAAAATTTTAGGAAATTATTCCACAGAAGGAAACCAACAAAAACAGCCAATAAGATAGGAATATCCACATGGACCTTTCCTTCACCACCAGCTGATTATGATCGTTTACTCAAATATTAGGACCACGAACAGGTTGATAGACTTATCAGATTAGAGCTGACTCATGCTATTGAGTAAACCTAACGTCTTTTTTATTATTCCTCAAACAAATAAAGATATAAATCTTCTAAATAAGTTACTAAATTGACTGTCCATCAGAATTATACCAAAACATCCCATTGCCATTCAGATCAGGCCCATGTTTTTTAGCAGTACTCACTGCCCTAGGAATAACAAAGTAAAGCTAAATAGACATCAAGAAGTCAAATTACAGCAGACATATAACTGAACAAATGAGACAATGAATCAAAAGAAAGTACGAAGAAGGCCTTACTTTCTTCCTCAGTCGACTTTTTCTTGCAGCCTCACGATTTTGAGCAAGCCTACGAAGAGTCTGCAAAACACAATCGAAAAAATGAGCATCTTAGCCTGCTATATTCGACTCACATATGGCAACTTCGTAATTGAATTTCTATACATCACCTTCTGATCTTTTGGATCTTTTGATTTGTCACTGGAATCAGAACCCGCAGGACCAATGGCGTATTGCACTACATCAAACTGCGCACACAGAGTGATCAAAATGTCAGATGGGCAACAAATATTAGTTAACATCTACAGAAAATGTCCCACTCAGAACAAGTGGCGAATGGTTATTGAACTCAAGCATAAGAAACAACGCTCAATAAAAAAGAGTGGGTTAGAGTTGAGCAAACACACAGAGTAGGTTAGAGAGAGAGAGAGAGAGAGATTACCCTTTGATTCTTATCATCTGTATCCACATCTGTAGAAATATCAGTCCTGGGACTGCCATCAGCCATGGTGGATTCTTCCCAGTTCTCAATATCACTACTTGATACAGAACCAGATAGAAAGGTTGACCTTTTTAGTGACTGCAAGCCTCTGACGGCGGATGAGAAGAACTGTTTTGATTGGCCAAATCAGCAGAAATGAAGAAACAAAACGAAAAAAGAAAAACTACCCACACAAAACAAAGAAATCAAATTTGCAGAGATACTCCCATAAACGAAAAAACCCAAAATGGAAACTTCATCACTTGAAAGGAAATCCAAGGAGAAAAAGAAAAGAAACAAACTTTGAGATGTTAGCAGAAGTTCTTGTGTCCTGTGGAGGCGATCAGAAGAAGAAGCAGCTGCTTCGTGACCACTTTACTCTCTTCCTGTTGTGTTTGTTGAATTCAACACAGTAGTATCTGCATCAACACATGTCCTAAAAACTTTGACTCAGGAATCGGGAGGAGACAGGAGGGCTCTCCACCCACTTTCCACTTAAGCACAAAATTTGGTCTTTCCCAGAGAGACAAAAAAGAAATATAAATTTTTACCATAATAATTCGTAAATTATTATGACACAAAGAAAATATAAAATAAAATAAAGTCTTGGGGCTGCTTTTAGGATTAGGAGGGGAACCCTTATTTGCTACTTGAATGACAGTGCCAGTATCTTGCCAGAAATACCGGTGAAGTTCTTCTGAACCGATAAAATTGAAAATGGTTGGATAAAAAAAAGAAAAAAAAAAGAGGTGTATTTAAAATTTAAAATTAGTAAAGGTAAACATTTACAATTTAGACAATTTTACAACTTTGGCAAATAGTCCACCTGACCTGAATCAAACCGCTTTCCATCATAATGTCCATGACAATTGTTGAAAGGCAATTATTGCTAACTAATGGCTTGTGATAATCAATTATGAGAAGGTTTGGCGAAAAAAATAGAAAAAGAAAATCCATTGTGCGAAGCACCAGTTATTTTTTCTTTGGATAAACATAAATAAATAAAAAGAGCCCATTAAGTGCACGCATCATTGCTTGTCATCTTCAAGGGAGATGTCAAATATCAAACATCAAATTTAAATTTGATGGCTAATGTGGCAATTTGATGGCTAATATGTCAAATTAAATTATTATTTTTTTAAATTTTAGTGTTGATTTATTTTTAATTAAAAAGAAAAGAAAAGAAAATTAATAAAATATTCATTTGACATCTTTATTTTGGGATGTCAAAAATAACATCTCAACCTCCAGCCTTAATTCCACATCAGCTTTGACATATCGGTTGGAGTGATGTAAGATGTTATTTCTAGCCGTTAAATGTCTATATAAGCACTTTTGACACATTGGTTGAAGATGCTACCCTGAACTCTTTATTCTTATTGATCTAATTATTTTTTTATATATAAAAAAATTACTACTATGAAACAAAATTTCAACTTGTAATTACTCAAGGTTATAAAAAAATGATCGCATCCGTTTAATTTTTAGGTTCTTTCTCACATATTACTCAAGGCTGTTACTCATATAATTGTTACGAGAGGTTTTCTATAGCAAAGACATCCTATTCTGGGCTATAAATAAATGATCGCAACCGTTTAATTTTTAGGTTCTTTTTCACAGATTATCCATGCAAAAATCAGCTACATAAAAAAAAAAAATTTGTGTTTTTGTGTTTTTTGTTAATTAATGGAAATTGTTTAACCATTTGATTATCTACATTTTTTATTTAAATTTAATATAACAAACTACTTTTGTGCACATTTTAGATGACCAAACAACTTCCAACATGAATAATTTTTTTTTTTTATAGAAATGATGGCTTAAAATATAGATAGTTCCAATCTTTACATTGTTGGTTAGCCTAGAAAAGATGGGTGCACCTTTTTTTATACAATAATGACATCATTAACACACATACTCAAATTTGATATCTTTTTGTTTTTTACAAATAATATTCTACTTTAAACTAATCTAAACTACGGGAATGAGAATTCGAACTCTGGTGTGGAGAGCACATCTGCTTCAGCCAACTTAGTTAAACCCATGTCTGTAAATTTGATATCATTAACATCACTAATTCTTGTATGTATAAATGTATGGTTGATGTATATACATCTTACCCAAGTAAAAATTATATTATAAAACAGTTTCCCCCAACATGTTTTATAGAAAAATTCTTTTTTATATATATAAGGTTTTATACACAAATGTACCATTTTTCTGAATCACCTTGTACCAACAAAGTTATAATAACACAAAAAAGGAAAGATATTTTTGAAGCACCTCATACCAAAATCACCTTACAAAGTGGCATTAAACTATCATTGTGGATAATCTTCTATTTATTTATACCACAAAAATATTTGAACCAAACCCACTTGGATTTCGGTGATGATGATGGAAAAAGTTACGAGAGAGCCGAGACGAGATGTGCTGCATTTAAATTATTGCAATCTCTAGACGGCTCCTTCTGTAAAAAAACAATTAGAAATCGTCCACTTTCCTAGGACAATTCATTTTTTTAATTGCCTTTTCTAATGCTCAGTGCTTTGACATTATTATTATTATTATTATTTTTCTGTTATTTTATTTATTTGCTTTGCTGAAAATTGTGTCAGCATCAATACTGCCAAACTCGTTTACAACTCAGAGTCAGTTGAGGAGTTCAAATCCTCTGCATCTAGTCTCCACTAGCCACTCCCACTCCCTCTGACTCTCCTCTTTCCCCGAAGGAGGACCGTTCGGTGGCAATTTTAAAGGGCCGTTCTCATTATTTGAGCCCAGAAAAGAGTGAAAATTAGGGGGTTTCAAGAATTCTATAATAAGGGTGTTATCTGAGCATTTCTAACGGGAGGGGCTACCCCGGGCAAGAGGCTCCGAGGCAACGAATCCCATTTACAGCGGCTGATCTCACACTGACATCATTATGATGTCAGCAATCAATTTAAATACTAAAAATTAATTTAAAAAATTAAAAATTAAAAAAAAAACCAAAATGTTATGATTTCTTTCTTTTTTTTCTATAAATACGTAGACATATTCTTCACTTCCCACACCAAAACTTCATACCAATTCCTCTCTTCATTATTCACATGAGCAGTAACTACCTTTAACTCCCCTTGCCTTTTGCTATTTGAAATGGGTAAAAGTACTTTAAATGTGGCCCTATTTCTTAATCATTGGATTAAATTAGTTAGTTGTTAGATCAAATTGGTTAGTTTGATCTAACAGTTAAGAGATAAGTCCTCATCTAAATGCCTTAGATAAGGTCCTCACTATAGAACAACTCCTAAAAAAGGCTTCTTTTTTGCCAAGGTAAATTGGCCCATGCTAGAGTATCAGAACAAGAGAATATGCGGAACCAGAAAAGTGTGAACTCATTAACGACGACTGCATAAATTTCTAAATTTCAATCCCCAGAATGATGGTCACCCAACATTTAACCAGATTGGCCTGGAGAAAATGGCGAAAACTTCTCAATCCCAACACATAAGAGGCATGCAGATAAGATTATAAAGGGAAGCCATACACGAGACCCTCACAGCATCCAAAAATAAATAGCAGAACAATAAGCTACACAGCTCAACCAGTGACATTACTGCACCTAGTTTCTTGTTTTTTCATAACATTAATTACTTCATAAAAATCAGAAATTCATTTATGACCCAGTGACCTTAACAATCTACATCCAACAGAGAGATACAAAAAACATTGTCAAGTACACCTTTATTTAGGAAGCCCCAAAAGCAAAGTCTCATGTGAGCACATCCAGGGAGCAGCGGAAATTCAAAAATAATTGCTCTTATAAAAATCTTTGAGAAAACCAGAGGCCCCCTGATCCTTGGTGCCCGAATCCTGCACAAGCCCTTGGTGACCCACCACATACTGGCCAATGATGTGGTGTCGCTGCTTTGCATGCTCAGTGATGTTATTTAACTCTTCCATTGCCTTGAAGAGAAGCATATCGATGACCTGCAAATTAATACTATCCAGAAAATGAGAAATGTTTATAAGCCACAAATCAGAATAACATTTTAGCAAGCAGGTGCAGGTAGTGCCTAAATTCCTGGTTATAGTTTCCACAATTCTGATTTTGTGCCCGCTAATATACAACCAACTCAATGTAGAAAATCTTCGCAATTTATTCAACTCAATAAATCTGGCATATTACTAGCCAGGAATGAGACGTCAAAGTGCTTTACATGAATGATTAATTTCATTCCGTTGTTTCACTCAATCAAGCTCCATGATCATAATGATTCAAGGACCTTTTAGCCTGAGCGTTTCCTAATATTACTTTCAGGCAGTATTAGAGATCCTAGAAGAGTTAAGAAAAATCTACCATAACTCCATAAACATATAGAGACAGAAACCATTTGAAGAATGCTACCGAAAAACATTATAATGTAAAATATGCGCAAGAAGGATAGGTGACAAAAGATTTGTTAACATTGAATGATTTATCTTCACCATATTATCGGAACCTAATTACATATGCATACATAGTAAACCCAATGTCTGGTCTTCACCCATGAATTCCCGCTGATATTAGCACAGATCAAATAAATTGGGGGCCAGTACCAAGGAGAAATTCAAACCTAGACATTCACTTGTGTGTGACGCCGAAACAGGACCCTCAAAAGAACTCTACCAATCAAAGTTTTTAGTCATCCATTATTCCCAAGAATTGAAAATTAAAGCTGCCGGGGTGTGGGACAAAAACTAATAACACTAATACTCCTCTGTTTAGGATGTAAGACAACAGTAATTTAGACGACAAAACTCCCATCAATGTGTGGCCTCCACTACCACTATAGAGGCCTAACAAGTGAAATTTAATACAAATTGCAATATTGCAATTGCAAAGATTCGAGCTTCAATCTCCTGCTATGATACCATGTTAAGAAATTTCAGTTAAACACAAGTACAGCTTCAGCTTCAATAACCATAATTTTATTGCATTCCCAAACAGCAACAAAAAATGAGCCAAAAACAAAAGTGTTTCTGAGTGAAAATTTTCGGAAATTCTGATACAAAGTAGAAATGCTGCATCTAAAATCACTCATAGTGTGCACGATCCCTGAATTTCAACCTAAATTCATTCAAACACTTGGCACAAAATTGAAGAATGAATACAAGATTAGACAACTCCATTTCATACTAAAATTCCCAATTTGATGATTGCAAAATGAAGGTTTCTTGTAGGCAAATAAGAAATTCCTGACATTTTACTCGGAATATAAAACGGCATCGTTTCGTATAGTTTGAGGGGAGAGAGAGAGAGAGAGAGGGGACCTTAGGGTTAGTGACGGAGGAGTTCTTGCGGATCTCGGAGGCGACGACGGAGCGGAGGTGAGAGGGCGCAACGACGTCGTCTAGGTTGTAGATTTCCATGATGGTGGGTATAGATCTGCAGGCGGCCCTGAAGAAGTCGAAGACTCGGTGCCTGGCTTCTTCCAGAGACACCGAGTTGGGCGGCACCTTCACGGCGCGTTGAATAAACGACATTTTTCCTCAACTCACTCACTGAGTTCTGTCTCGCACTACTCTCCGAGAT